TTCCTGCCGCCAGCCAATCGCCGTGGCCTTCATCAGGTCGAGGTAGGTCGGGAAGCCGCGGGAGGTGATGGCATCAGCCCGAAGCAGTGCAGCGGCGGCATGAGCGGTCCAAGAGGGCAGACGAGGCCCGCCCCAACACTGAAGTGCAGGGACAGCTTCATTGCTGATTATGCCGATCGGGCACCGCAGGACTTGCGAGACGACGCCTATCTCGAACGCGAGGAAGGAGGACGGCGTCGGGGCAAACTGGGCAACCTAAGAAATAACAGAGTGAACGCGGGTACGGCACAGAGCGGAGTTGACACTACTTGCCGCGCCGTCGCGGCTGAGCATGCGACTTCTCGTGCGGACTTTGGCTTGGGGGTCGCGCCAGCACCGTTCAACAGTGGCGCTTGGTCCGAGCCAGATGCCAAGATGAAGCGTGCATCCGTCAATGACGAACTCAGCCCGTTCAGGGACATAGCGGCCCAGGAGACCCCGAACCTCGCCTGGGAGAGCCTCGGAGATCGAGCCCACGAGGGGAACCGCTGTGCATGTACTAATCTTAATAGAGAGCCCCACAATCAGCTTCATGGTCTGGAGGACCTCAAAGACAATCCGAATAAACAGCGCACTCGAACAAGACTACCCCCTAATCGCCAGCACGCGCTCGTCCCAGCCCTTTACCGACGCCCTCCAAGTTCACTTCCAGGTCCTGGAGCATCGGGGCAGAGGCCAGAGCATGCAAGGAGCCCGAGAGACCACGCCCTTGGATGGTCCCAGATCTCAGCCAGAAAACTTCCACCAGAACGCCCCAATCAGCAATGGCCCCTCGGGCAGCTTCGCACAGGAACCCGACGCAGGAGAGGGGCGCCTCGCAGAGCCCCAGGGCGCCCAGGAGCTGCATGAGGAAGGGCTGGGAGAGGCTGGGGAAGGCCTGGCCGCAGTCAAAGCCGAGCAAAACCGGGAACTTGTTTCGAGCAAGTGGGTGCTGAGAGGCGGCGCGGCCAAGGGCGTCGCGCCCAAGATCATTGCATCCGCAGTTGCGTCCAGAGAAATAAGGCCACGTTAAGGTGGTGGGACCGCGAAGTCAACGACTGGCTTCGCAATGATATTCACGACCGACCTCATAATCTTCATGTCTGTATTGCGAAGGCCCAGTGCCCGAACCCGATCAGGAGACATCTCGCAGGCCCCGCCCGCAGTGTCTGAGGCCTCGGGGCCCCTGGGGGGGGGGGGGGGGGGGCGCGCAGGGTGGCGCTGGCAGCGCCGAATAGACCCTGCCCTTGACACGGGCAGCTGAACATTGTAGCAAGCATGTGGAGGCCGAAGTCTACCGCGGTCCACGCGGCATGCGGCAGCCCGTCCGCGCCGGGGGTTGAATGCGCAGCACGCTTGGCAACTTTCCTGAATGGCGGGGCCAGCGGGGCGGCAACCTGGAGATCCTGCGCAGATTTCAGGAAATGATCAAGGTAAGCTTGTGTCGCCAACTCAGCAGGGGGCTTCGCCGAGAAGACAGGTCCCCCGTAGTCGCGCAACGTTCGACGTCGGCCTTCAGGGGGCGAGGCGGGCCCGGGGGGGCCAGCAACGGACGCGAGCGCCAGGCGCTTCGAGAACGGGGCCCAGATAGCAGCTTTCCTTTCTATAGCACGTAATAATGATGACGAGCAAGTTTCCCTGGGAGCAGACGCAGAAGATGATGGGGCAGCCGCGGCAGACGCGATCTCTTTTTCGAAGACAGCTTTGTGCACCCCTTCCGTCCACTATTGAAGAGTAAGCGCATGTCGCAGCACCACGCATCGACCTTCGACCAGCGGGGCGTCTTGTGCGTGCACTGAGGCGTCGAGAAGCCGCCGAGCGAGCCCGGCATCCTGTCGCCGGGCTGCTCTCGAAATGCTGCGGGCAATGAGCTGGGGTGTCTCCGCCGGGCCTGAGGCCTGGAGGAAGAGAAACGTCTCGGGCCCCCCTCGCAGCCCCCTTCGCCATTAGTTTATAATGCTCGCTCGATACAGGAGGTCTCCACGTGATAGTATCACCATCGCCGTCCTTCAGCATGCCCATGAGGCGCTTTTTGTTGACAGGGCTCTGGAAAAAGGTGCCTCGGGATGGGGCGCTCCGTCGGCGGCCGCGCAGCGCGTCGCCGCGGCGCAGCGTGGACAGCGGCGTGGTCCGACGCAAGCTTGGAGCTCAAATCCTCGGGCGAGCCGATCGCCCCCGCCGAGGCCGTCAGCTGGCGCACCTCCCAGCCAGCGGCCGAGCAGAAGAAGCGATCGATAAGGCTCACAGAGTTGGTGCGTCTACAGAAATGAGCGGGAGAGCCCGAGCAGTCCTCCATCAGGTCACCCGGCGTCCTGGACCAGGTCGGAGCATGAACTTTGTGATCGCGGGCGGCTTGGGCCCCGGAGAATCCAGGCCCGCGAACAATCAGCGCCTCGTCGATGCTGGAATTGAAGTCTCCAAGGGCCGCGGCGAAGCACGAGAGTGGAGCGTGGCGAGCCCGGCGGCTGGCGCCCCCGATCTGCTCGCAGACCGCGGCGACCAGCATCCTGGACAAGCCGCAGTTATGAATGCTGAGAATCACCATCTGCACCTCGCCGAGCACCGCGTCCACGCGCAGCGCGCGTCCAGGAATCACCTCCAACGCCGAGCTGGAAACTGTCTCCGAAGCAAGAGGCGGCAGAAAGATGGCGACGCCACCAGCTCCGCGATCCCCGCGACCACATAAGCTGCAGTGGACAATCACATCAGAACGGACTTTGCGCACAGTGTCAATCAGTCGAGAACGGTCGCCGTGCACTTCTTGCAGTCCCACAATACTGTTTCCCGTCACACAGCGTCTCAGGGGGCCCAGCTTCTCCTGGCCCTTGGCCCCGCCGTATTGCAGCATAGCCCTAGCATTCCAGGTAGTGAAGTGCAAAACCGTGCCGCCTGCGCCCGCTGGCAGCACGAAGCGGTCTGCGAAACCGTCAAAGACACCACCGCGTCTGGGTCGCGGGGGCGAGAAGAGAGGAGATGGCCTCGGCGGGAGGACGACGCTTCAGGCCAATCGCCGTGATGCCCGCATCGTTCCATTGGACCGTGGATGTGGTCGTTGCCAGGGTGGGCCTCAACCTGGGGGACGTCGGTGAAATCAGCCTTGAAGATGCCCCTCTCGCGGTCGACGAACCACCGCTTCTGGGAGAAGGAATCGCCGAAGGCGTTGCGGATCTTACGCAGGAGCATCTCGGTGCGGACCTGCTTGGGGCTCTTGTCGGGGCCGAGGTGCAGACGAGCAGGGTCGGCCCCGTGGACGGCGCATCGGGGTTCCCTCCACTGACCGTCCTTCCGCAAGCTGCCCAGGACCCGCTGGACTTTGCGGGGGGCCGCGCCAAGCGCTCATTTGAAGATGATCGAGAACTTCTCGGCAGGGAGGGGGGTGAGTGCGCGGATGTCGTAGTCGTCATCGCGGAAGTCGAGCTCGGCAAGGAAGGCGCCGATCTCGTCGCGAACGCCCTGAGGCCCCACCAACTTCGAGGCCACCACGATAACCTGGGACGGGTCAATCTCTCGATCGAAGCCGGGGGGGACGAATGGCTTCGCGGGGGTCGCCTTGTCGAGCTCCACTTGCTTGCGGATGTCAGAGATTTCTTTTTGCATAGCGATGATCTGTCGCTCATGTTCACCCAGGGCATACTCCGACTCACAGACGCGGTTGGTGAGCGCATCCTGCTGCATCTGGAATATCTTGGCGAGCTGGTCCAGCTGGGGGCGAATTGCGGACATGATCTTCTGGTCGACAACCTGGACGTGCCCCGCAACCTGCTGGCGCTGCACATCCAAGGTCTTGAGGATCGGGCCACAGGCGGCCCGAAGGGACGAGGTGACCGCAGTTTTGACCATGTCATCGAAGCTGCCGCGCAGGGAAGCGAAGCGTGCCTCGATGTCAGCCGGATAGTAGTGGATGTTGAAGTCGGGTAAGTCGCCCACATCGTCGTCGGCGTCACTGTAGTACACCAGAGGTTCGGCGCGATCTGGATGTGCAGCGCGAGCAGAGGCATCGCCACGAGGAGGAAACTGAGCCGCAGCTTGCGCCCAAGGGTCAGGAGGGCTGCCATCAGCTTCATCAGGGAGGGTGGGGAGGATGGCGTCCGCCTGCAGGATGCTGGTTAGCTGGCTGTAGGAGAGGAGCGGGCCCCCAGCAGGCGCACCCATCCAAGCGGCAGGAACGCCAGGGTCCATCCCACGATGAGAAGCAGGAGCAGGCAGGCGACGATCAGCGTCAGGTCGAACATCCCATCCGCTGGATCGCTTGTGCCTTCCCGTGCGGTGGGGTTCCCCAGCCTTGGGGCGGAAGCGGCCACGCCGCTCAGCATCCACTGCACGGTTGTCGCTGCGAGAGATAGAACGAGCAGGCGAGGCGCTGCGACTGCCATCGGACATCTGAGAGGAGGGCCGCCAGGAGGCCCGCGCAGCACTGGCCGAGAGTGGCGTCGAGCGCAAGCGCTCTGGCACTGCCGCGGACTAGCGGTATCCGTTTGTCTCCCTGGGGGAACATGCATCTCGAGCCAAAATGGCTACGGAAGGAGGAGGAGGAGGAGGAGGAGGAGGAGGAGGAGGAGTAGGAGGAGGAGTAGGAGGAGGAGGAGGAGGAGAAGGAGGAGGAGGAGGAGGAGGAGATGCAGCCCCAAGAGATATCAATGTGTTCGGTTTCGCGGCTTCCAGAACCGGCTTGCTGGCGGCGAGGGGCGACCGCGGTCTCGGTCTGGAGGGGAGGGTTGGGGGCGTCGGGATGCGGGGTGGGCAATAGGGGCCAACATCTGATCGGGAAGCCGGATCGAAATCGAAATCCAGTCGAATCTGTTGGGATCGGGGCCACAATCGGCGATCGCCGCATCGGCTCGGAAGTCGGCAAGGGGACCAGAGTGGGTCGCGACGTGGATGAATCAAATGCCTGCCCTGCCAGGCCCTCCTGATCGACTGGGTCGAGGTCCTCCGGAGCGCAGCCCGCCCAGGGTGCCATCGCTGCCTCCCTCGCGGCTTTTCTGCGGAGCACACCCCTCGTACTGGCAGCAAGCGGCCGCGGTCTCGGTCTGGAGAGGAGCGGGCGGGGATCCAAGATCCCAGACGAAGCCCGAACACACATCGAGGCTGCATGAGTGTTCTCTATCCTTGGGCGGCTGGAAGACGGTTTCGTGCCCGCAGGCTGTCAAACACGCCTCGGAGTGACGTGCGGGCCACAGGCCACAGGGAAGGGGTCGAGAGGTCCAGGTCCTGGGGCCCATGTCTCGATCAAGTCGAGCCGCCGAGCGTCAGGGACGAGAGATCAGCGCGCTGGCGTCTAGGGGGGCGGGAGGACGGATGGATTGATGGCCGCATGGGTGGATCGATGGATGGATCACTGGATGGGGAATGGGAAGACAAGGAGGAACAGCAGCAGCAGGAGCACGAGCAGAAGGAAGGAGGAGCAGGAGGACCAGGGGAAGGCGGGGGAGGGAAAAGGAACGGGGCGATAACGAAGCGGAAAAGCTTGGATCCAGTAGTGTGGCCCGCGCTGAGTCGAGAGCACCATTCTGAACGATGGGGGCAAGGTGCCGATCCTGAAAGGAGGCCAACGCAACAACTGGAACACACACACACTTAAAACATCACAACCGTTCCGGACGAAACGTTACATATGACACATCAACTCTAGACATACTATGCGTAACAAGTCCGTGTGCGGGGGAAGAACTTTCCCGCTCATGCAGAGCCCAGGGAGTGATGGTACTAGTTTTCATAGTATGTAGTGGTGAAAAGGGATGAACATGGGCAGCCACGAAGACGAGATGGCTAGACAGGTGGCGCGATTTTGGGAGTTGTGGCGAAAAGGGGAAGGAAGATGAGGCGATAGAGAAGCGAAGCGAATATGGAGGGGAGGGAGGGGGGGACGGGAGAGGGATCGTGTGCGCATGCGGAGATGGGAGTGGCAAGCAAGGCGGCCCCTAGCCGTCGTAGCGCTGCGGCTGCCAGCTGGGACTCCGGGACACCTGCGGTTTGCGTGGATTCCAGGGGGCTTGGCAGACGAACCTTCCTTCCCCTAAACCCCTCCACTCCTCTCTTCTCCTCCTCCCGTCCGTCTCCCCGATCCTCCTCCCCTTCCCCACCCTTCAAAGTCCCTCCCCTTTCCGCCCTCCACACCCTCCCCCGCCTCCCTTCCCTTCCTCCCCTCCTCTTTCCCCGACGTGCCTCGTCGTCCTTACGTGCCCCGTCCTCCCTCACTTCCATGTCCTGTTGTCCTTCCGTGCCATCCCTGCGTCCTGCTCTTCCTCCCTCCCTCCCTCCCAGGTTCTCCTTTTTCCTCCCCTATCTCAGGCGCGCTCTGGCTCAGGTTTCATGCCTGCCGAAGTCTACCTTACCCTGGACCGTTCTTGTGCAAACTTGAGAGCCACGGCCCCCGTGGTGAAACTAAAGTGCTGCTTGGCGACTTCTGGAAACCCTGGATCCCACTAAGAATGGCATCCCTTGGAGACGATGTGTTGCTTACTTCTGCCGCCTTTTGCGCTTTTGTACCTGGCCGCCGACTGTGACATCGGACGTTTTCCCAGGGCGATATGCGGAGCATGACTTTTGACTGGCCAGGCAGCTGATTACATTATTTGGACGCTCGCTTCGGGACTCTGCGCCCTTGGCCGCGATTAACCTTTTGATTATAACACTGCCCAATGGCTGCTGGTGATCATTCATGGCGGCCCGTGGTTTCCCAGTCACGGCTCCTCATGTTTTCCCAGTGTTCCTGGTTCTATGTTTGACGACCTGCCAGACCACCCCAACCTAACCCGAAGATGCCAATTTCGGGTTGGGGGGACGGGTTCCAGATGTGCTTTTCATTGTTCCCCGACCCCTCCCACTGGAAATGGATGGCACATTGAAGCCTTCGGGTTGGGTTGGGGTGGTTTGGTGGGTGGTGAATTTTAGGGTGGATTCGTATCGATACGTATTCGTATGGCGACACTTGATTCAACCGGTTGTTTCCTCCCTCCGCCTCCTCTCCTCTCCTCTCCTCTCCTCTCTCTCCTCTCCTCCTCTCCTCTCCTCTCCTCTCCTCTCCTCTCCTCTCCTCTCCTCTCCTCTCCTCTCCTCTCCTCCTCCTCCTCCTCCTCCTCCTCCTCCTCCTCCTCCTCCTCCTCCTCCTCCTTATCTTGCAACCGGTGCTCTTTTCGGGTTTCGACCAGGGTTGAAGCTGCCGATGCGTGGGTCAGCCATTTTCGGCAACCACGCTGCACACTCTCCCTCCTCCTCGTTCTCGTCCTCCCCCTAGGCGCGCTTTGCCATCAGTGCTGCGCAAGCCAATGCTTCGCGTGTGGGCTCGCCTGTTGAAGGTTGGCCCTTTCGTGACTCTGGGTTTGCTTTGTGCATCTCGGGGGCACCCTCGTCCGCAGGGGAGCGCGTTTCATGGACCAACATGTTCTGGCGCATGTCGCCGAGCTTCCGCCTCCCTCCAAGGCGAGGCCCTTTCTGGAGCGCCCCGTTTCCTCTCTTCGGATCTCTGTGCTATGGCATCTTCTGCTAGTGGTGATCGTGGGGCCTGTTCCTATCACCGGGGTCTACGGCCTCCGAGGTCCACCTGTGGGCACAAGAAGAGCAGGAGTGCCTGATGGTTCTGCCAGCAGTGCTGGACCCTCGGAATGAAGGGCAGCACGACGGCGCGACCCTCGTGGAACGTGGTCGTGGGGAGGGCGTTCGCGTGAGTGGGGTGCGCGGCCCCGTGGGGCGGACGACGGACGTGCCCTTGTTCCCCTGCGCTATGGCCACCTTGTCCAGCTCGAGCCCCACTTCGGCTACTTCTGGCAACTTTTGGGGAGGGCTTCGCCGCGTGCCCGATGAGGGTCGAAGCGCCCCTAGGGGCCTTGCGACTTCCTCGCTGCGCAGGAGCGGCTCGGCGACCTCTATCGCCATCGGGGCGGCTTCTGCTGGGCGCGAGCTGTCCTTTCTGTGACTGGGTCCTCGCTGCCATTTTGGACGTCTTGGTGTATCGGGGAAGAGCACTCTTTAATGGGGGTCCGAAGACTCCCTCGCAACTTGTGGGGGAACGAACATGTGCCCGCACTGGTACTCCCCAGACGTCTCCCGGGGTACGTTCTGACCAGAATTTCGCGGAGAACTCGGTCGTGGCGACGGGAATTCTCGAGGACGAGCAGCGGTTTCGGTACCTTTTCCTCCTCTGAGCTTGATTTCTCTCACACGGGCAGCCTTACTCTTTCGCCACCCATTGGGGGTCAGACTTCTGGGGGTTTGAATCAGCGAAGGGCCAGGTCAGGATTCTTTCGGATAGAAAGACTGGGCCTGGCGAACAAATCGAACATACATGCAAACATAACAACGCACAAGATATGATCCGTGAACCAAATGCGACCCCGAACAAAAAGCATCCGAGGTATTTAGCTTACCTCTGCCTGACCCCCAAAGGCTGACCCCTATTCGCAAGCGAATGACCTACACCCGACTCTGCAGCCCCACTGGCGAAACGCTTCCCGGGCTAGCGTGCTCAGCGACATCCAAGAACTCCACCGGCCCGCGCCGGACTCGGCCGTCGGACTTCCAATCGCAAATGGTGCTTTCCTCGCCGGCCTGCGCGACCTCTCGGACGGGGTGCGATTGCGCCTGAGCAGCCGGGATCACCCACGGCCCTAGCTACCTTCATCTGGGTGGTTTTGAAAACTTAAGAGGCGGGTCGTGGGACACGAAAGAATACATGAGATTCGCGCCCCCATTGTACTCGCGCCCCCGAGGCTATAATCCAGCGAAAATTATATCGAGTCCCCGAGGGCATCAGCCCTGGCGAATTACGCTGTGTTCGGGCTTCCGAAATCATACTTCCGTGTAAGTTGCACAAGTTTCGCGTCTCCGAGGCAATACCCTTTCGGAAAGTGCCCAATGCTTGCATTCCCGAAGCCACGATCCCTAGAAATTGCAAGTTCTCCGCGTCTCCGAAGTCAGAAACCCTCGCGAAGTACGCCGTATTCGAGCTTTCGCGGCCACGGTCCTTTATAATAATGCCTCCAACACGGTACAAGAGGCCCCCAAGAGGCCCCCAAGAGCTCCAAGATCACACCCAAGAGGCCAAGAAGGGCCCAAGAGGCCAACACGGTTCCCCTTCGCTTGTTGATTGATTTTAGCACGCTCATATCTTCAGTGGGCCCCGTTCGGAGTTCCGGCGCTGCGTCACGACGGCGTCCAAGCTTTACAACACAGCTCTTGCATGCACCATTATCCGAGAGAGGGGGCTGGCGGCAGGGGGCGAAGCCCTTACAGACACACACACATATATACACACATACATACTTAAAGATTTACATATATGTATATATGTGTATATGTGTATGTATGTATGTGTATATATGTATACACATATCCACTAGAACTACGCGCGTTTCGCGCGCGTTTAGGTTCTAGCCGCGCCCAAGGAATTCTCATCGCGAGTTGCCAGTGAAGCATGAATCGGCGATTCTGGAACTTCTTTGGGGGTGGTAATGGGACCCGCGGCACAGTGCCTGGGTTGTGGGTCAGAGGCTTCTGGGATTACCTGCTTGGGGTCTCTTGGCATGCTTCTCGGGCGCCTCTGGGAGCCAGTGGCGAAGCCTCTAGGGGGCCTCTTGGGAGCTGTTTGGGGCCTCTTGGGGCCTCTTTTGGGCCTCTTGGGGGACTGCTGGCGGTCTGGGGGGTCGACTTGGGGCGGGGGGCTCGGAATGTGAGGTGGAGTTCCCCCCCCTTTGGCCCATCTCAGGCCGTCAGGGGAGCCTCTTGGACCGTCTTAGGGCTCTCCTGGGCCGTCTGGGGGCTCTCTTGGGGGCGTCTTGGACCGTCTTGGGGCGATCTTGGGCGCCTCTTGGGCCGTCTTGGACGCTGTTATACGCTGTTAAGACCAAAGAAGCGAGTATGCTGAGAATGTACGGCTTCCGAAAGGTATGGAACAATTTGGGGCCCGGGGGGGGCCCAAAAGGGGGGGGAGAAATCCGGGAGGGTGGGGGCCTGTGCCCCCGGTACTCTGGCATATGATATATATAGATATATATTTATATGCAATCATTATACATGTATATATATATATATATGTATGAACATCGTTAAATGTATGTATATGTATACCCATACACACATATATTTATATATGTATATACACAAATGTATAGATACATCCGCGTGTGTGTGTTCATATACTAGAACCACGCGCGAGCTACGCGCGCGCTTAGGTTCTAGTTTAGTCCGGGGCAACAGCCCAACAACAGATGGGGGGTCGAAGGTTGAATGCACTTCAGTTCTTCGTCGAGTTTTGTGGGTCGCGGTTCGAAAAGCTTCTGGGCGCTCCTCGCCCCCAGGCGGCCCGAGGAGGTCGAAAACGACGCCTCTTCCTCGTCCTCCTCTCTCCCCCACTCCTCCTCCCCTCCTCCTCCTCCTCCTCCTCCTCCTCCTCCTCCTCCTCCTCTCCTACTCTTCCTCCTCCCCTCGTCGTCCCCTCCTGGGCTGGCTTTGGGGCCTCTAGGGTCGTCTTGGGGGGTTCCGTGAGCCCCACAGGACGACCCCTTTGGGCCGTCTTAGGCCCTCTTGGGTCTCTCTTGGGCTGTCTTGGGGTGAGGGCTAGGAGGAGGATAATGAGGAGGAGGAGGAGGACGGCGAGGAGGGAGGGGGGGGGGAGGAAGAGGATGAGGAGAAGGAGGAGGAGGAGGAAGAGGAGGAGGAGGAGGAGGAGGAGGAGGGAGGAGGAGGAGGAGGAGGAGGAGGAGGAGGAGGAGGGAGGAGGAGGCGGAGGAGGAGGAGGAGGAGGAGGAGGGGAGGAGGAGGAGGAGGAGGAGGAGGAGGAGGAGGAGGAGGAGGAGAAGGAGGAGGAGGAGGAGGAGGAGGAGGATGAGGAGGAGAGGAGGAGGAGGAGGAGGAGGAGGAGGAGGAGGAGGACAGGTCGCGGAAGCCCATCGGAGAAACCCTCCACCTGGAGCCGACCTGAGCCGGAAGTGGCTCGGTGCACGCGGACAGCGTCGCCGCCGTCGCCGTG